CGGGTTCCGGTCGAAAAACGCCGCAGTTGATTCGAATATCGGGAAAATACGCATTTCTCCGCGGTACGCAAACAAGATGGCGAACCCAGCTCCAGCACAGCAGAATATCGCAGCAGTGGCGGTTAAGTTGCCAGAGTTCTGGAAGAACGATCCGCACATGTGGTTCGCGCAGGCGGAGGCCCAGTTCTGTCTGGCACAGGTGACGAGAGATGAGACAAAATTTTGGCACATCGTCGCCAAAATCGACCAGTCCGTGATATGTCACGTATCGGACTTGGTTTCCAACCCTCCGGCCGAGAATAAATATGGAGCAGTAAAAGAACGATTGATCGCCCGTTTCGCTCTTTCGCCACAGGCGCGACTCGAACAATTGCTTGGCTCCTGCGACTTGGGTGACCTTCGACCCACGCATCTACTAGCCAAGATGCAGGAGAGCTCCACGGGATTGAATGTCGACGATGCATTGATGAAGATGCTGTTCCTTCAAAGGTTGCCGCCAAGTGTCCGAGCAGTTCTGAGCATAAGTGATGGAAGTTTGCAGAAATTGGCTGAGATGGCTGACAAAATGATCGATTCATCTCCGGCCACCGCCGCAGCTGTTCATGTTCCGGCTTCATCCACTGGACAAAATGCTGATTACGCCAGTTTGAAGGAGGAAATAGAAGTTCTGACAGCTGAGATTCGACGCTTGAAAACTGAGCCAACACGAAATCGTAGCAGATCTTCATCGAAACCGAGATCCCGTGGTGACGACATTTGCTGGTACCATCGGAAGTACGGAAATCGAGCGGATCGTTGCAGAGAGCCATGCGCATTCGGCCAGCAAAAAAACTAGTCGGTTGCCCATCTGAAACGGCGCAGGTGGGTACTGGTTTCGAAAGCCGCCGACTCGTAATTTTCGACAAAACAAGTCAGCTTCGCTTCCTTATTGATACCGGCTCGGACGTGTCTATCATTCCAGCGACACGGCGCGAAAAAGCAGGAGGAACTGTTCCATTTTCCTTACATGCAGCAAATGGAACAAGGATACGTACGTATGGGAGTAAATTTATTTCTGTGGATCTTGGGCTGCGACGATGCTTCAAGTGGCGCTTTCTTGTGGCGGATGTGAGCGTCGCCATAATCGGCGCGGATTTGCTAGCACATTTTGGATTGCTGGTGAATCTGAAAAGCCGGCACTTGATTGACGAAACAACAAAACTACGAACAACTGGCTGTTTATCGGAAGTGCCTCTACATGGAATAACTGCAATAGATCTCCATCACCCGTTTCGAGACATGCTTGCGTCGTATCGAGAGATATTAGTTCCACCATCTGTTCAACAGGAAGTAAAGCACGATGTCACACATCATATTGTTACGCGCGGACCACCGGTGGCTTCGAAGCCACGTCGTATGCACCCGGAGAAACTTCAAGCAGCAAGAGACGAGTTCCAAACGATGTGCGAAATGGGCATTTGTCGGCCTTCGAGCAGTAGCTGGGCAAGCCCCCTTCACTGTGTTCCCAAGAAAAATGGTGAGTGGAGGTTCGTGGGCGACTATCGCCGCCTGAACAAAGCTACTGTCCCTGATCGGTACCCAGTACCTCACGTCCACGACCTTGTCAACAGATTCCAAGGTAAGACCATTTTCACTACATTGGATCTAGTTAGAGCGTACTACAACATTCCTGTCGAAATCGCAGACATTCCGAAAACAGCCGTCATCACGCCTTTCGGTCTGTATGAGTTTATGCGCATGCCCTTTGGCCTCTGCAATGCAAGTCAGACTTTTCAGCGCTTTATGAACAAGCTTTTCGGAGATTTGGACTTCGTGATAGTTTTTATCGACGACATCTGCATAGCGTCAGTGAACGCGGCGGAGCATATGGAACACGTCAAATTAGTCCTTGAACGTCTCAAAGCAAATGGTCTAGTGATCAATGCTGAAAAGTGCGTTTTTTCACAACCGCAAGTAGAGTTTCTTGGGTATACAATTGACAAGGATGGAATACGTCCAATTACATCTCGAGTTCGTGCTGTCCTGGAATACAAAATACCAACAATGGTGAAAGATTTGCGTCGTTTTCTGGCATTGATTAACGTCTACAAACGATTCGTACCTCACGCTGTGGAAATTCAGGAACGATTACGAAAGCTTATTCCTGACAATCGAAAAAACGATAGCAGAAAAATTTCATGGGACGAAGAAGCATCTCGTTGTTTCGAACGTTGTAAGCAGTCACTAGCTGAGGCAACATTGCTTCACTATCCTGACGCCTCAAAGCCTCTTGGACTTATGGTAGACGCGTCTAACTGCGCAGCGGGTGCCGTTTTGCAGCAATTCGATAGTGGAAGCTGGAAACCCATCGGATTCTTTTCTCAAAAATTTTCTTCGAGCCAACAGAAGTACTCAACCTTCGGAAGAGAACTTACAGCTGCAAAAGAAGCGGTGAAATACTTTCGACATCTTGTCGAAGGGCGACAATTCACAATTTTCACTGACCACTTTCCACTCACTTATGCCTTAACCACGAATCCGAGCAGTCGGCTTCCCCACGAAGAACGGTATCTGGCATTTATAGCAGAATTCACGAGTGATATTCGCCACATAAGTGGAAAGGATAATATCGTTGCAGACGCTCTTTCAAGAGTTGATGCTGTAACAGCCGGGATTGATTTTGATGTGATCGCCAAGGACCAACAAAATGATCAGCAACTGAAGAAACTTTTGTCGTCCAAAGATACTTCCTTGAAGCTCGAATCTCGGACATTCCCTCATTTGCGTTCACCGTTAATTGTTGATGTATCCACTAACAACAATATTCGTCCTTACGTTCCAGAGAACCACCGGGCCAGCATAATGTCACAACTTCATGGGTTAGCTCATCCCGGTGCACGTGCTACAAGGCGATTGATCGTAGATCGGTTTGTTTGGCCCTGCATGAATAAGGATATCTGTCAATTTGTCAGGACATGCCAGCAGTGTCAACGTTCAAAGATAACTAGACATACCGTAGCACCATTCTCAAGCTTCGACATACCTAAGGCACGCTTCCGGAACATCCACATAGACCTCGTTGGACCACTTACGCCTTCTTGTGGACATCGTTACTTGCTGACGATCATTGATCGTTTTTCACGATGGGCTGAAGCAATTCCACTGAGCGAAATGACTGCGCCAACCGTCGCCAAGGCTTTATACGCGGGTTGGATATCTCGTTTTGGGACTCCAGAGACAATCACATCCGACCAAGGGCGGCAGTTTGAGTCGGAGGTATTCAAGGAACTCACGCGTTTGCTTGGCGTACACCATATTCACACCACTGCATATCATCCGCAGTCAAACGGAATCATCGAACGATTTCACCGTACACTAAAAGCATCTCTTATGTGTGCAGGTGGGCGTGATTGGCACGACCGCCTTCCTTTGGTTCTGCTAGGACTTCGATCGGCTTATCGAGAGGACTTAAAGTGTTCATCTGCAGAACTAGTATATGGTCAAGCACTCAGGATTCCGGGAGAATTTTATGATCCTCCTACAGCAAACGTCGATCGTACTGAACTATCCAGTTTTCTGCACAAAACATTCAGCGAACTAAATGCGCCTACTCCGACTCACCATGCAAAGGAAAGGCCGTTTGTGCATCAAAAATTGAAGGATTGCAGTCATGTCTTCATTCGGGTGGACTCAGTCAAGAAACCGTTCCAGCAACCTTACGAGGGACCCTACCAGGTTTTAAAAAAAAACTGACAAATTTTTTGAAATCTCAATTGGAGGAAAACAGCGCACCATATCAATCGACCGTATTAAACCTGCTTTCTTATGTGATAGCAGCTTCTCCAATCACCCCCAGGACGATAAGAAAACTGTAGTTACACAATCAGGACACAGGGTTCGTTTCCTAGTGTAACTGGAGGGGCATATGTGGTGGCGCTAATTAATCAGTCACCCTATCATCTGGCTACCCTGTGAGGGAGCTGTCAGTTGCGAACTGAATCAAAAAGTGTAAACCACGTGAAGAGGAATAAAGTTGGATTTTATTGATTAATTCCGTCGCGTTATTACTTTCTCGTCACTTCCGTCCCACAGAATCAATATTTGCGCGCAAAGGGATCTGAACTCATACAGGGTTCTTTGGGTTTACGTCTGAGGTTGTTAAGCAGCCTATAATCGTCCTCTGGGCTTACTCTGAACACCTTTCGGATTTGTAATTGAATTCCCTTTAAATGATAAATTATGCATACCAAAATTTGCCCACGCAGATCTCTATATTTAGTCTAGAGATCTAACGTTGTAACGGCTTGGGACTTTTGCAATGTGATTTTTTCAAAAGATGTTTAAGCCTATTACCCGTCTGTATAAAGATAAATTTTTCTTATTAAGGGGGTAGTCCACTCTGGAAATTTCAAAAAATCTTTTTTTTTTGGCTCAAAAAATACTTTGGAATGTCTACTTTGACATAGACTTGACCGCAAGTCCGCAAGTGACATCGTTCCAAAGTTATAGGCCGATTAGTGGACTCGTGTCCAGACGCTCCAAGCGCGCTCAGGTGAGCGCTTGGTGTACCCGCCCGTTACCGGCGAAACGGGCGGGTACACCAAGGTTATTTTTCAACCAAATCAAAAACGGCTACGTACAAGACTGGGTCATCTATCAGAGAATAACCACAAAAAAAAATCGTTGTTCCAGCTCCAGTGGTGTGACCGCCAGACGTCCCGCCCCGCGACGACTCAGACGGGAGGTCTCCTGGGGAACCTGGTGCAGCGGCTACAGGAGACATCCATTCGCGCCAAAAAAATCTCAATTAAAGAGGAAATTTCAATTGACAAAACCATGTATTCCTTTTTTTGAATTGATCGTTATACACCCTCAAAAAAAAATTCGTGAAAATGACCTATTTTTCATGCCGCCAGAGTGGACTACCCCCTTAAACAGTTGTTCAATTGTTGGCAAATGCCACTGAATATGATCCAGCACGAGACTGGACACCCACCGCAACTAAACTATTGAATACTCACTATGAAATCGGCAGCTCCGGATACACTTCCATCATTTCGTCCTGAGGCGAAGGTCGTGGGGCAAACGATTGTAAATGGACCGGCGTATGCCGCACGTTTGGTCCGGCCACGAACTGCTGCTGCTGCTGCGTGCTCCTTGACGCTGACTGTTGCTGTTGCTGCTGTTGAGGTTGTGACTGTTGCTGCTGCTGCTGCTGTTGTGACTGGAACACCATATGGTGCGGCATTGACTGTTGGTGCTGGTGATTGCCATGGCCGGGTATCGCTTGTGAGCGGGGCATACTCAGCATCTGTTCATCCTCCAGGGTGATTGCACCGTTTTCCATCCCCAGCCGATGATTGTGTCCATGGTGATGGTGGTGACTACTGTGACTGCTGATGTGGTGGTGGTGGTGGCCGCCGTGGTGCTGTCGTGGCGTTCGGCGTGGTGACCGTGCCGTAACAACTCGTGGCTGTTGCATCTCTTCTAGGACCGACGGGGCGACGTATGTGAATCCCTATTGATTTCGCGAAGGAAGAAACAATGGCGATGTAAAGCAAAAACTCAACCGGGGAAAGTTTTGGTACGTACTTGAAAGATTAGATTGGCACTCTCACTCAACGTAGAATCGTCGGGCGAGTCGACCGGTATCTGTTTGGTGAATTTGGTGTCGAACTGTGAGACGTCGTCTTCGCTTCGCTGAAATGATGGCGGTCAACAAATTAGCCTAACTATTTGGATGATTTGATAGGGGAAACTCTTACCAAAACGGGCTTTATCGGTGGATCCAATCGTCGGGCCAGAACGTCATCCCAATTGACGTTCTTGAAGAATGAGTGTGATCGCACTGCTTGCCCGTCCGAGGGTCCACTACCGAGACGTTGCGACACCTGACGCTTCATGAGCCGGCGGATGAGATCTCGCGAATCTGCCGCCAGGTACGCGGGGATGTTCAGTTTACCCTTGAGAATAGCGTCTATCGTGTTCTTGCGGTTGTCTGCTGTGAATGGGGGCTGTGGAAATGGATAGATGGCGAATTTTGATTAGGATTGATATATTTCCAAAGAGCTCATAAGCTAGAGATACTAACCATTCCTGTTAACATGTCAAACATTAGAGCACCCAATGACCACCAGTCTACTGCTTTGCCGTGACCGCTTCTTGTTAGGATTTCAGGTGCCCTGCAATGAGAATATGAAATGACGTTAATTTATATCAAAAATATTCAATGCAATTGACAACTTCACTCCAGATACGTTTGGTAGGCACTCTACCAGCTCGCATACTCACATATACTCAATAGTACCACAGAAAGTGTGCGTGACGATTCCCTCCTGGATGTGTTCCTTGCAGAGACCGAAATCGGTCAGCTTGACGTGGCCCTGGGCATCCAGCAGTACGTTCTCCGGCTTCAGATCCCGATAGATGATGCCAAGATTGTGCAAATGCTCTAGCGCGAGGATGATTTCACACAGGTAAAAGCTAAAAACATTCAAATGTGTACACAAGAGAAAAACAGAAACAGATAGTTATTTTCCACTTGCTTCCAGCGAACACGGAAAACGGGACGGAAAAGCTAATTTTCGCTTCGCCCGAGCCACCTACCAAGTGGTGTCCTCTAGGAATATTCCTTCACGTTCTAAATGCATAAACAACTCGCCTCCGCTGAGATACTCTAGGATTAAATACAATTTTCCACCTGTCTGGAAGGCGTACACTAATTCAACAATAAATGGATGCTGGAAGACAGAGAGACAGAGGAAAATCTTAGGAAAAATGGGATCCATTTGGATCGGAAACGTGACACTTACCCGCACCGCTTCCAGTATATTTCGCTCTGCACGTGTGTGGGCTGTGTCTTTTTGATTCCTAACTATCGAAGCTTTCTTCAGCACCTTCATGGCGAAGTAGGAGTTTGAGTCGGCACCGGTTGTTTTTTTGACCTATGGGGGAATGGCGAGATAAACAAATGGTATGCGTTAGTTAAGTATGAGAGCTGAAGTTGGGGTGAAGGTTATTTAAACTGTAGGAAATGGATTAGAATTCATTTATGCATTTGGAATCCCCCGTTATTGAGCTAATTCTTCAATATGATAATCCAATCCTTATTAGTACTATTGACTAAGAAATAATAGCACCGATTCTAAAACCTACATTTCGTTGAAGCTCATAGCATCGAAAACTTACCCATCTGCCCACACTTAATTTTCCCATTAAATCCTGTAACGAACAAAGTGCCAACGACTATTATCAGTTTAATAACCCATAATCGGTAGGTGGTCATTACATTTCTGCCTCCCTTTCCTCTTGATACACCAGTTGTTTCCCACACATCATTTAAACATCGTTATATACCTACAATTTATGTCCGTTGATCAAGCATAATATTGAAGGTTCGCCGCAACCGCATCCGTGTTTCCTTGCATAGTTAGCGTGATAATTCAAAAATAGGTACTGACGGCAACCTTCAAAAAGCTAATTGAAAAGTTTGATGTGTGTTCCAATAGAGCACTTTAACACGAGCCTTGTTCCTACTCGGTCCCATATCTATCGTACAGTATCAAACCGGTAACTTTCGTTGAGTAATAAATCCCATAGCAATTAATTAAAAATATACATTCACTCTGACTCGCACTGCCGCCGCAAGAGACGTTCGATCAGTTTATCGTCGTAGTATCGGTTAAAGTATATATTAGGGTGGTTCAAAATATCGATTTTGCTCCACCAGGCACAATCGATTCTAAATCAGGTATCAGGACTCAATAACTAGTTATCCTGAAGTTCAATTAAAATGCGATCTTCAGCCAAGTTGCAGCTGAGAAAATTTCACAAAAAGTTCACTTTTCCTATAGTAATTCCTATATAAACTTCAAAGGGCCAGAGCAGTATGAGTACGCATCCAAATAAGTTCAAATTTTGCGAGAATTACCAGGACCTGATTTGAAGTCGATTGAGCTTGGTGGAGCAAAATCGATATTTTGAACCACCCTAGTATATATTTATCGTTATTGGTGTTCGATCGTCTGCTGAAAACAGTTCCAGAAGAATGTGTTTCAATCAAACTAATTGAAGCTTGAAGTATAGATTCCCAGTACTTTTTTTTATTTTCGATTTATGACTTTTTCACTCAAAGCTTGTATATTTTTTTTTAAACTTTGTGATTCAAATTCCAGTGCCAATACATCCCAAATGCATTAAACGACAAATTGATTGCCACTCTGTGTAGATTCAAGTATGACAATGATTGGCTGCTCCCAGAGGGGGTGCTACAATTATTTACGCACTACGTGACTGAGCCCTATCCAATATGGGTTAATAGCATAATGAAACATTTAAAAGTAGGTTAGCTTCACTGGTTCGGCCACTAATAACTATACAGCATTTGTAATGATTCTGTTATGTGGTCGTCACTAGGTTTCTCAAATAATCAGGTAATTTATTTGTTAGCTAGATTTTCTAACGTGTGTATACGAAAATGTTCATTCTGGACAACCTTCGTTATACGCTACACTGCCCTGTGCGGCATAACAGTCCCATTAGCAGTACCATCACTTTACAACGTACACGAAAAGTTTCCTACTTTGTTCAGATAATGGCACGAAGAATACCAAAACTATGCTGTTTTATCCATAAGAGCCCATGGAGAAAAAAAACTTCAACAGTGTTTTACTCAGCTTGTTGTTTTAACGAATGGGACAACTATGCTGAAAAGGGCAGTACAGTCTATTGTAGGTACTTCCATTATTTGTAAGAAAAAATGCAGAGGAACGTAAGAAATCGACCATTACATTTGATGTTCATGCCATTTGCTTTGCGTGTGCTTTCTCCTCCGATACGCGGTACGCTAATTCCATCCCAAAGCGATTCCCATCCAGTGCTTTCAGAAAACTGTCAGTTTTGCTCATGGTGGGCTTCGCACTTCCATTGGAAAAATTGAATCTAATTTTTGCTTTCAGCGGGTTTTCCAAGTTGGCAATCTTAAAATTAGGGATCAATTTTTTGAATTCTTAGAATCAGATCGTGATTATTTTATAGGCAGATAATGAGGGGATTTTGTTCAAGTCTAAAAGCTATACGAAGGCCACATCCCGTTTTAAAATATACTCCCCTTCCGATTGAGGAAATTAAGCGAGGAGGGAATTTGATTTTTCACATCCAACCTCGCACACCTTTGTAGGTGTGTAGGTAAGAATGGTGCAAAACGCACTTTTTCATTTTATTTTGTGATTTTCTATGCATTTTTAATCTAATTTTAGGATTTATCATGCACAATTTCGAGTTCAGATGCTGTTACCGCGAGGCAATTAATTTCAAACCAAAACCAAAAGATACTCACAGTTGCATCCCGTTTGCATAGCCCTAGCTGACGTTGATACCAAGGCCAAGAATATGAAATGAAAAGTAGGGCAAAAGGAGCGAGAGCTCGTTTTACATAATCTAACTGCAGTATTTACTTAGGAACGTTTCTGCGTTCAAGTAGGATAAACACGCCCACGCATGGCATGCTTGCGCATCTAGGCTACGTTTAGCTTTCCCTCTCTGTTTATCCTTAACGAAGGATATAATTATAATGTTTAAACGTTACAAATGTCTCATTCTTATTTGTAGAGCCATATCAGATCTGAGTTACAAAAAGAAATAAACTTACAAGATAACCCGAGAAATCCCAGATCTGAGAGGGCATAGTATATAAGATCCAAATAACACAAATTTACCCTTTCAAGGGCGATCGAAATCCTAGCTAATAGAATAGGCAAAATTAGGTCAAAAGTCCGGTATTGAAAGGGATATGTAAAACCCTGGACGAACCAAGTAAAAGTTTTACATAATTATAAGTTGCTAATGCAACACGTAGCTGTAAGATCACTTTGTACAATTTTGTTGAATAAAATTAAGTTTCAAAGGTTACTCCAGATTCTTCTCTTTTTTTGAATCCGAAAGAACTTTCGGCCTAGAAGTGAAAACTTCTCTCCTTAACCGGGGAAAAAAGTAGCTCCTAGAATCGAGAAACAGTGTCTGACCTGAAAGCGAAAGACTCTCCTTAACCGGAGAAGAAAGTAGCTTTTGGCGGCGACATTTCATGGTGGCTCCAGAGAGGAATCTTGGAGGACGTTTTCCGACGTTTTGAGCCCGCGAACTTCCAGTCAGTCGAAATCTGACTGCAAAGGACCGCAAAGTTGGCGGTTTAAGTGGGCCGTTGAGCCAAAGTGTCAATCTGACAAAGTGTGGCGTTAAGCCAAATAGCAGTCAGTCGAAATCTGACTGCAAAGAACCGCAAAGTTGGCGGTTTAAGTGGGCCGTTGAGCCAAAGTGTCAATCTGACAAAGTGTGGCGTTAAGCCAAATAGCAGTCAGTCGAAATCTGACTGCAAAGGACCGCAAAGTTGGCGGTTTAAGTGGGCCGTTGAGCCAAAGTGTCAATCTGACAAAGTGTGGCGTTAAGCCAAATAGCAGTCAGTCGAAATCTGACTGCAAAGAACCGCAAAGTTGGCGGTTTAAGTGGGCCGTTGAGCCAAAGTGTCAATCTGACAAAGTGTGGCGTTAAGCCAAATAGCAGTCAGTCGAAATCTGACTGCAAAGGACCGCAAAGTTGGCGGTTTAAGTGGGCCGTTGAGCCAAAGTGTCAATCTGACAAAGTGTGGCGTTAAGCCAAATAGCAGTCAGTCGAAATCTGACTGCAAAGAACCGCAAAGTTGGCGGTTTAAGTGGGCCGTTGAGCCAAAGTGTCAATCTGACAAAGTGTGGCGTTAAGCCAAATAGCAGTCAGTCGAAATCTGACTGCAAAGAACCGCAAAGTTGGCGGTTTAAGTGGGCCGTTGAGCCAAAGTGTCAATCTGACAAAGTGTGGCGTTAAGCCAAATAGCAGTCAGTCGAAATCTGACTGCAAAGAACCGCAAAGTTGGCGGTTTAAGTGGGCCGTTGAGCCAAAGTGTCAATCTGACAAAGTGTGGCGTTAAGCCAAATAGCAGTCAGTCGAAATCTGACTGCAAAGGACCGCAAAGTTGGCGGTTTAAGTGGGCCGTTGAGCCAAAGTGTCAATCTGACAAAGTGTGGCGTTAAGCCAAATAGCAGTCAGTCGAAATCTGACTGCAAAGAACCGCAAAGTTGGCGGTTTAAGTGGGCCGTTGAGCCAAAGTGTCAATCTGACAAAGTGTGGCGTTAAGCCAAATAGCAGTCAGTCGAAATCTGACTGCAAAGAACCGCAAAGTTGGCGGTTTAAGTGGGCCGTTGAGCCAAAGTGTCAATCTGACAAAGTGTGGCGTTAAGCCAAATAGCAGTCAGTCGAAATCTGACTGTAAAAGAACCGCAAGTTGGCAGTTCCAGTGGGCCTTTGTGCCAAATAGTGTGGCGTTAAGCCAAATAGCAGTCAGTCGAAATCTGACTGTAAAGAACCGCAAGTTGGCAGTTCCAGTGGGCCTTTGTGCCAAATAGTGTGGCGTTAAGCCAAATAGCAGTCAGTCGAAATCTGACTGCAAAGAACCGCAAAGTTGGCGTTTTAAGTGGGCCGTTGAGCCAAAGTGCAAATCTGACAAAGGTCAGATAGTGCGAACATTTGGGCTCGTCAAAGCCAAGTAGGCTTATAGCCAAGTGATCTGAAAAGTTTCAGAAAATCCGGACATCGGTGGAAGTGGACATGAACGATTTGCAAAAAGAAATTGATGAATTGGTCGAGTATTTCAACGAAATCGACATTCAGGTTGCAAAATTAAAAAAAGTAAAGAAATATAAAAAGTGGCTAAATGAACCCTTTCCAAAGGGAGTGTATTGTGTAAGCAAGGCGTTTCCAGTGACCTTGTGGCGCGGTACCGATAAAGAAAAAGTGTTCCGGCAACATATTAGCAAATTCACTTTACACCACGCCACAAAGAAGTAGCTCAAGCCAGAGTAATAAAACGCCGCACTTTCCCACGGCTGAAGGCCAGAAGCAGACCACAAGCAACAAG